ATGTGAATCAGCCCTCTTTACAATTTCCAAGACAAAAAATTCCTAAACTACCCTCTTCTTCTTCTCCAGATCATTTCTAGATCTACTCCTCTTCCTACAAACCCATCTTCTCTTCCACCCTCTCTCTAACCTCACTCGAAACCTCCAACACCGCCGCTACCTCCGTCACCCCTGTCTCTACCTCGCCAGGGGGTTCTGCAAGAACGGCAACAGGTGCAGGTTCCTCCACGACCTCAACGAGGACAAGCTCACCGCCGCCATGGCCTCGCCGCCGTCGACGCCGTCAGGTTTCCGTACCCCCTCGGACAGCTTGCTGATGTCCCCGTTGTCGCCCATGAACCAGAGGTAGGTGAACGGGTCAATCGATGATGACCGGAGTGAGTTTGATGTTGTTTGTTGTCATGTAAGCTTCAGTTGAACTGGGAAGGAGTTTGATGTTGTTCTCTGTGTAGTTTGATTGTTATTGATATTGCAAATTATATGGTAGGATTTTGAGAATGCATTGTGGTCATTGTTGGTTTGATAACATTTTTCTTGCTGATAACACTTTCAGAGAAGATGATGTCTCCAATTATTTTAGGTTACAGGAAATTTTCTTTTTGAACTTGTTGATGGTTTGACAATTATTGTTTGGGGTTAAAACTGATTTGGGTTCGTGTTATTTTCTATAGTATTTATGGGCCAGTTCAAGATGTGAGGATCCCCTAATCTCAACATGTTATGTTGGGGCTTGGATGTATATCAAAATCAAGAAAGAAGTAATAAACTCAGGGTGTGGTATGTATAGATGTTATACAAATTTGTGATGGTGATTTCTTATGTCTGCTGTTGTTTGTTGTTATGTAAGCTCCAGTTGAACTGAGAAGGAGTTTGGTGTTGTTCTCTGTGCAGTTAACTATTGTGGTTAGCATGTTAACTCTTGTGGATATCATGTTAACTCTTGTGGATAACATGTTAACTTTTATTGGATAACATGTTAACTGCTGTGGTTATATGATAACTCTTGTGGCTAACATGTTTACACTATTAGTGGATAACATGTTAACTCTTGTGGCAAACTATGGTTATACCCCCCCTATATGAAGCTTGAACACAAGAGTTATATTGTACAATTTACGGCATTAAGTTAACATGGCTAGCGTATTATAGTTAAGCATATTAAATGCAGAACTATATTAACATGTATAGTGACACGAAATAAACGTTAACGGAATAATAGATTAAGCAAATAACAATTAACGATAATGGATTATAGCTAATAAAGTTTAATGAATTAATTATCAAATTTACCAATTAAAAGTTACTAAAATCACAATTAACTTTAATTGGTAATTGATCCATTATATATTAACATGTTATTCATAATATTTTACATGTTATCCACAATGAGTTAGCATGTTTATCCACACATAGTTTAACATGTCAAACACAAGAGTTAACATGCTAAACTCTAGTGTGTTTAACATTGTTAACATTTTAACGCACAACAACTCTTGTGTGCAAAGTTCATTATAGTTAATATAGTTTAACGTGAAATAACTATTGTGTTCAATTTCATATAGTTAATATTTTTAACCATAATATTTACACACAATAACTCTTGCTGTTTAACATGGTTACATTTAACCACAATAACTCTTGTGTTCAAGTTCATATAGTTAATATAGTTAACAATGAAATAATCTCTTGTGTTCAAGTCATCATATTAATATTTTAACCACCAATATTAGGCCATGTTAACTCTTATGGATAACATGTTAACTCTTGCTGGATAACATGTGTACTCTTGTGGATAGCTCCTTGTGGATACATGTTAACTCTTGTGGATAAACTATGCTAAAATATTATGAATTAACATGTTAATTGGATAATGCGAATAAATTTACCACATTAAAAGTTAGATTGTGCATTTTATTAACTTTAATGTAAATTGATACATTATATTCAGTGAGTAAACTTTTAAACTATAATCCATAATCCGTTAATTTTATTTGTAATTCTATTATCCGCTTAACTGTTATTTCGTGTCATATACATGATTAATATAGTCTTCATTTACATGTTAAACTATAATACCAAGCATGTTAACCTTAATTGTAAATTCGCGAAATATAACTCTTATGTTCAAGTTTCATATATATAGTTAACATGTTTGCCACGAAGAAGTTAACATGTTATCCACATAGTTAACATGCTTTAGCCATAAGAGTTAACATATAACCACAAGAGTTAAACATGTTATCCATAAAACGTTATACATGTTTATCCACAAGAGTTAACATGTTTGCCACAGAGAACAACCACAAGAGTTAACATGCTAACCACAACAGTTAACTGCACAGAGAACAACACCAAGAGTTAACATGTTTGCCACAGAGAACAACACCAAGAGTTAACATGCTAACCACAACAGTTAACTGCACAGAGAACAACACCAAGAGTTAACATGTTCAAGTTCATATAGTTAACATGTTTGCCACAAGAGTTAACATGTTATCCACAATAGTTAACATGTTAGCCACAAGAGTTAACATATAACCACAAGAGTTAACATGTTATCCATAAAAGTTAACATGTTATCCACAAGAGTTAACATGATATCCACAAGAGTTAACATGTTATCCATAGTTAACATGTTATCCACAAGAGTTAACATGTTAACTATAACAAGAGTTAATATATAGCCACAAGAGTTAACATGTTATCCACAAGAGTTAACATGTTATCCACAAGAGTTAACATGTTAAACACAAGAGTTAACATGCTAACCACAACAGTTAACTGCACAGAGAACAACATCAAACTCCTTCTCAGTTCAACTGGAGCTTACATAACAACAAACAACAGCAGACATAAGAAATCACCATCACAAATTTGTATAACATTTATACATACCACACCCTGAGTTTATTACTTCTTTCTTGATTTTGATATACATCCAAGCCCCAACATAACATGTTGAGATTAGGGGATCCTCACATCTTGAACTGGCCCATAAATACTATAGAAAATAACACGAACCCAAATCAGTTTTAACCCCAAACAACAATTGTCAAACCATCAAAAAGTTCAAAAAGAAAATTTCCCGTAACCTAAAATAATTGGAGACATCCTCTTCTCTGAAAGTGTTATCATCAGGAAAAATGTTATCAAACCAACAATGACCACAATGCATTCTCAAAATCCTACCATATAATTTGCAATATCAATAACAATCAAACTACACAGAGAACAACATCAAACTCCTTCCCAGTTCAACTGAAGCTTACATGACAACAAACAACATCAAACTCACTCCGGTCGATCATCGATTGACCCGTTCACCTACCTCTGGTTCATGGGCGACAACGAGGACATCAGGAAGCTGCCCGAGGGGGTACGGAAACCTGACGGCGTCGACGGCGGCGAGGCCATGGCGGCGGTGAGCTTGTCCTCGTTGAGGTCGTGGAGGAACCTGCACTTGTTGCCGTTCTTGCAGAACCCTCTGGCGAGGTAGAGACAGGGGTGACGGAGGTAGCGGCGGTGTTGGAGGTTTCGGGTGAGGTTAGAGAGAGGGTGGAAGAGAAGATTGGTTTGTAGGAAGAGGAGTAGATCTAGAAATGATCTGGAGAAGAAGAAGAGGGTAGTTTAGGAATTTTTTGTCTTGGAAATTGTAAAGAGGGCTGATTCACATGGATTTTTCAATTTTGGGGAAAAAGCACATTGAAAAAAGTTCAAGGGGCTGGGACACATCAGCAATTTAATTTTGGGGCCTTGAAGCAATTTTTCCTTGTTTGTAAGTTGAAATGTGAAAACTTGAAGAATTTTTTAAATAATTTTATGACAAAAGGAGAGTTTTATTGTCCTCTATTAATCTCATGCATCGTGGGAATCTCATACTTCCGACACTCATTCCTTACCTTGTTCCCCATAAATTATAATTACTGGGATTATTATATCCACTACATTAAGGGGGGTTTGGTTACACAATTTTATAGAAAAATACCTCTTATTATAGTGTACCTCACACAACAATATGCCATTTCAGAAAAATAGGCTAAATACCTAACCCCCCCCCCCCACCCCCACCCAACTTTGAGACGACTTATCCAGTGATAAGCCGCTTTTAACTTTCAAAATATTAAAATACCCCATCTAAATTTAGGGATTGTTAGAAAACTATCTTTAACTTTGGAATGTTATCAGAAAACCCCCTAGTTTTAAAGGGGGTTTTTCTGATAAAATCTAAAAGTTAAAGAGGATTTTGTGATAACCCTATACTTAAGGAGGGTTTTCTGATATTTTGAAAGCTAAGCAGGGTTTTTCCGATAATTGTTCAAAGGAAGATTTTTGATATCTACCACAGAAAAATACTTTATGCAAAGTGGGTACAGATGTCTGTGGATATTATATCCATATTCTGCAAGATACGTAAAGGATATTGATTTGCAAGTATAGAGGAATGCAATCACTTCATTCTTGATTTCGCTTAGTTCTAGCTTTTAACTTGAGCAAGAGAAAGAGCAAACAATATCGCATTCTCTTCTTCTATAGGCCAAGCTACATAGAACAAAACCTTGGCTAACATATTAATATCTTCAACAATATATCTGAAAGGAGTTAAAGCGCGATTATTCATCTGCAAGGATATAATAGTTTATCTTTTCCGTATTAATACATGTAACTGGTACGGTGATAAATACGGATACGCCGAGTATCGCATACGACTCTAAAACCGTCCCCGCGTCCGCCTTCACACAAACGAGCATCTCTCTGCGACCGTACAACTGCCACCAACCCACGTGGCAGAATTCTGAGCACGTTTCCTTAACTAGACACATTAATGATTAATTGAAACTTCTTGTGCTTGTATCCTCACTATTCTGTTCAATTACAATAATAGACAGCATGAACGTCGGTAAATATGAAATCCAAGCAGGGGTGTAACCGTCAAATGGTCGGATAAACTCCGTCATTAACAAGGATGAGAAGGATATAGTCTTCAAAAATCCCTTTTTTTTTGGCGGGTCAATTGAATTTCTAGCTCGAATCCATGGCCAAATTTCGTCGCTAGGGCTAGGGTTTCGCTGCTCCTCCTCTTCGAAGGATGACGATCGCTGGAGCTCTTACGTCGGATCTCGTGCAGATTCCCTTTGCGTATTCTTCGATTGGCCGCCGCCAGCTGCGATGCCCTAAATATTTCGTATCTCCGGTGATGTGAGCTCTCATCTTGAAAATCTTGGTACTTGAGTCAATTTTCGATGACATAGATTCACAATTCGTTCTGTTGTTTGTGTTAGGAGGGATGATTCGAAGATAGCAGCATCAAAGAAGGAGAAAGAAGGGATCTCGGAGCGATCTGATCTCCGATCTGAGCCAGCTCGGATCGGATACCCGCGCAAGACCTCCGATCTCCGATTTGATCGATTGCAGCTCTCTGATGATGAGGTCGATTGCGAGTACAAGAGGGCTTTCGGTCGTTATATCGCTAGAGAAGCGATACTGGACGAAGAATTTTGGGTAAAAAAATTTTATTGGGATTTTGATTGATTTCTTGGAATATATGAATGATGTGGGTAATTGTGAGTTTAGGAGGTGTTTATTTATTGAAAAAAAAACAAAATCTTGATGGGTTTGGGGCGTTCTGATTCATTGATAGACTGCGGCCTGGCTGAGGGCGGAGAGTCATTGGGAGGACAAACAGGGTTCTCGGTATGTAAATGTTTATCTTTACCCTCTTATCTTGATATATTTGTCTTACGTATTATTAGTTGACTTATGTGATTCAGTGCCTGTATTATTTGTGGATTTTGTTTGAAATTTGGACTTTGATCATGCAGCCATGTGGATACTTTCAAGCGGCAGTTTGCGGAGCAGGTAAGACAGTATTTTCAAAACAGTTACTTGTTTGGTTATCTTTGTTATTGCAATCTGTAATTCTTCAGAAAATAATTACTTGTGGATAATGCAAAAGCAAAGTCGAGAGACCTCTCATGTTCAAGACACAAATTCAACAAATGAAAATATAAAACAAACAAATTCAACAAATGAAAATACAGAAATAATGTATCTACTTCTCAAGCTAAGGGAAAATTGATTTCATTTCAACCAGCAGATGTATTTGTAATTTGAGAATCGCAAGTTGTGGTTCCTTTTTAAACATGTTATAAATTATCTGTTCAAAAGGTGTAAGATCAGCAGCTCTTTTTATAATATAACTTCAGTCTTTTGTTTAATCATCTTGCAAGAAATTCTTTACATTTGCTTTAAATTATCAAAATCTCCCCAATCATTTCATTCTTGGATCTGTATACTGATGACTATGCAGCAATCAATCTGATATTGTAGAGCTTGTTTTAAACTTGGTTTTTTTTGCTCAATAAGACTATCTCATAAACAGAACTCACACTCCATGGTTATTGGTGCTTATAAATGTGACCAGAGCCACATCAGTTCCAAGTAATCTTTTTTATGTGGACCAAGAGAGGAAAATAATAGTTGAAGAATGACTAGGGGACAATATCATAAGGGGAATGCTTCAAGTACCCGATGAGTACTTACACAACATCCAAAGATTGTTTTATGGGACAAAGTTATTACTGCCAAGTGAGAGTATCAGCCTTTTCCCTTATGAAAATGTTTGCAACTAAATCAAACTCAAAGACACAAAATGTGTATCAGCTGAAACTTAGTGAAACCAAAACTACTTGTTTAGTTTGAATCCTGTCCTCACCAGAACTGAGACTAAACTACTGAAGGATGAAACTGCCAAAATATTTTCAAGGCATATGCACAGGAGGCTGTAGAAAATTATTGTTTGCTACGTTTGAGCCAATAGGGTTTCATCTAATCATAGAATTGCAATCTTGTCTTATCTGAACCTCAAAGAACATGACTTATTTGGTGGTTTTTTAATTTTATTTTTAAGCAGGAGTTTAGTGCAATAAAGAGACGTTGCACGCAACAACTTGCTGAGAAGTCCACTTGCATCATTGTGGTATGGTTAAAATATGAAAGTATGGTTCTTACAATTTTTCTTATGAAAATTTGCATAAACCTTGTGACCTTCACTCTATTCAGACTATATAAAAGTTTATAATGAAGCACATGATTGTTTGAAGCTATAATCTTAAATGCCTCATATGAAGCGGATGCAGTTGCATCTAACTTCTTGTTGTTACAGAAAGTCTGCTTACAGTCAAATGTATTCTGTACATCGTTAATAGAACCTTTTACTTTACATTTCTATTTAATTTGATGTATTGGAGAGGATGATGCTGAATTTATTTGAGAAAGTATGATTTTTAATATTTATTTTTTTCCATCTGCAATGATTGGTGTCTAATGCGTCTACTAAATTTGACACGTCTATATCCACCCATGACCAACACGATATTCATGTCCATCTACACCAAAATCCAGCAAAACATGCATGTTCATCTTTCACCCGTGTCTAACTTCACCAAGTCCAACAAAACATGCATGCCCATCTCCACCCACATCCAACATGTCATGCATGTCCGTCACTGGTGTCTCTTAGGCTTGAAGCCAATGATCCGGAAAAAGATAAGGTATTTCAATATACAAACCACTGATGTTCAGGGTTATTAAGCTGCACTCTATCATTATACTTGAAGAAAAAAAGGTTTCTATCATTATATCTATGTTATTTTATCTGTTATCCATGACCGCAAATAAAATTCTAATGATATCTACTACATCTAATTTATAAGTGAGAGGCAAATAAGTACATATCCTAGCTACTCTCTAACTATTTTTTCACTACCACAAAAGGGCCTGCTCAAGTAAGTACTTATCTAGCTACTCTAACGATTTTTTTTCACTACCACAAAAAGGCATTCTCTCTTTGAAAACAAATTTGGAAATAGAGGATGCTTGTTTTCAACATCTGATGTGTTTTTTCCATTACAGTCATTTGTTACAGTGGTCCAGCTTTTCTTTAATCCAAAACTTTTTGAAAGCTGATAGTGTTCACATTAATTTCATTTTTCAACTCTCTTTTTTAATACCCCTTCATACCATAAATATATATGTCAGGTTAAGAAGGACGAACCTAATATGAAGCGCACAGTTCTGAGCAGCATAGTTGGGACTCTGGACATAAACATTAGGCATCTTCTATGTGGAGAGACATTCCCAGGGGTATATGCCTTTTCAATGCAATGGCAACACTTATTGCTGTTCAATTGTTTGCATCTTTTTACACGTATTAAAGTTTGCTAAGTTTATCTTGTGACATGGATTGACTCCCGGCAGGAGCGTACTAAGGTGCCAGTACCCTGCACCATGTTCGGAAGAAAGGATCAACCTATTTACGGGTATGTTGCCAACTTATCTGTTGTCAAGTATGCACGTCGCAAGGGTATCGCCAGTAACATGCTTCTGCTAGCTGTCGATGCTGCCAAATCCCATGGTAATACTTCAATCCCTCATCTCTATCTCCAGATTTATTCTGATATAAGCAATTAGTAGTGTTCGGGTGCAGTTTTAGGTGTGTCCATAATTGATGTTATGCGCTGCATGATTGATTTTCAAGTTTTTGGCATGTATATTTTATAAAAAGTCAAGCATTATAGGCTTATATATTAATGACTTCTGAGGTGCTAGAAGATCAGATAGCATATTTTTGAGGTTCCTGCCCATGCATAAAGCTCTTTTACAAATCAAACAAATATTTGAAGCAAGACAGATGTTTATGAGAGCAAAAGCTCTTAGTATCCTAGAACATTTGACTAGTATTTGTTCTTGATCAATGTCATCAACTGTTCATGCTTTCAAGTAATATGCTGACAGTTTTCACCATTTCTATTTACAGAAATGACTCACCTTTTAGCTTTTGTATTTCTTTTCTGATGTGTATTATATGGAATCGATTATTTTCAATCACTAGCAAGTAATATATACAATAAGAATTCTATGAATCAAATGTGTGGCTGTGAACTATATATAAATGAAAAACTATCAATTTCATAGACATGATATAAAGAAAGAGTATATAACACAAATTTAAAACATCAAATACAAAATTTTGAATATTGTGGGAACATTCAACTACTTATTTGAGTCTTGAAATGAGAATAAATTTACACATTCATATTGTTTATGGTGGTTTCCCTTTCTGTTGGTGGTTATTCAAGTGCAGTTATGTTTTTCTGTTTCTTTAGCTATGTATCTATCAGGGTTGACCTGCTAATATCCTTGCTGGTTCCTATGTATATATAATCTCATGCCACGCTTGCTCTATATGATGATATGCATTATAATGTGGACTTAGCTTTATCTTCCTTTTTAGGAGTCAATGAGGTATTTGTTCATGTACATACGAATAACATGGCTGCCCAGAAACTATACGAGAAGTTAGGATTCAAGGTACAAGCTATTAGAATTTTATCTTGCATTTCGATCTTCTGTTTGTATCTTTGAAAACCTCATGTTCATTTTTCTTGCCTCGATGTAGATGGTTGAAAAGGCTATGCCCCAGTCTCTGGAAGAAGACAAGTTTCTCATGTGCTTGAAGACTGCTTAGGTTGCTATCTCTTCCAACACTAACTCAACAAGTTTGTACAGAAGATTGGATCACTCTCTATACAGGATTTCTTCTCATAGATCACGATCAACACAGGAACTTCTCTGATGCATTCACCCAATTTGGTGCGATAAAACATAGAACCGAAGTAGGATTTAGAAAAACCCTATTATGATTTTCAATTGTACAGTGAGCTCATTTGTTATAATTCGTAGCTACAGGTGCAATGAATAAAATTTCCTCCATTTTTCTGGATGTATACTATGTAATGCAGTAAACAGGCACATCACTCGTGGAAAAATTTGCTGGTAAGCTATGGTGCGTGTTGTTCTTGTTGTTTTTGTTACAGATCTGATGCGGAGGCAACAATTGATATTTTCGGAAGAGTTTCGGTTCAATTTAATTTCTATTTTTTTACGGAATGTCTTTTTATTTTAGGAAGTTTAATTATCTTAGGAATGTCTTTTTATTTTAAAAAATCCAATTGTCTTAGGAATGTCTTTTTATTTTAGGAAATCTAATTGTCTTAGGAAATATTATTTTAGTACTTTTGCTTTGGTTTACACCCTATATAAGGGGATGAACTCTATGCTATTTTTCAAATTGGTTATTATTAACCTCAGAAGTTTTTCTATACCTAGAGTTTTTAGGGTGTGTCGTTTTGCTCATACGAGAATGAGTAGTCATTTCTTTTGATTACACTCTGCTACATCAGTTGGTATTCAGAAATAGTTTGTTTCCTACTACGGTCACCAACGATAATGAAGTTAATCGCCATTCCCCTGATATTTTGTAGTGAGTTGATGCCCTAGATTGACGTGTTGGCGAAATCATCACGGCTATGAGGAACTTAACAACTGCCATAAACAGAGGGAACCAAAACGAAGTTGATGACAAGGTGCGTGCTCGGGATATTGCCCGTGATCGACCCGCCAAGGCGGTGAGAACTCAGATATGGAAGATTTTGGAGTGCTTGAGGAAGATGTTGCTCTGGATGAAGGGGGGGACATGGTCCTAATATTGCGCTATGGTTAACCGGGTCCGGCCCGTCCGCCGCCGCCTGCCACCATCGCCGCGCCCGCCGCCCCGCCTGCCTGCTACTCCGCACCACTCTCCCGCGCTGGCGCCGCCCGCCGTCCCGGTCGCCCGCCTATTGCAGCCCGCCTGCCCGCCGCCAACCGCCACCGCCCGCCCGCCCGGGATGGGCGGGGGGGCCTGTCGTCGTTCGCGGCCGCGCCGTCGCCCGTCGCCGCCACCGCCCGCGCCACCCGCCATGCGCGGAAATAGGAGGACGCAGGGCACCGGGCCGCCCACGCCGATCGCCCACCAGTCGTCGGGGCGCTACCCGTCGACGCCACGCCACCCTCTTCGTTGACTCGTCCTTGTCTGTTTCTGCTTCCCTGACCGCTCTGCTTCGTCCTCTCGGCCGGGGCCCGCCACCGGCCGGCCACCGCGCCGCGACGGCTTGTCGTGCTGGCCACGATCGCTAGATCCGCCGACTCGCGGACGGATGCTCGTCCCCCCCCGCCCCCCCGCACGCTGGTTTCCTGTCGCCGCCTGCCATACGTTCGTCCTCCTGTCGCCCCGCACCGGGCGCGCCGCCGCGGCGCGCACTCACCGGGCCACGCCGGCCTGTTATAATGATAGTAGACGTAAAATTGTGTATTTTTCAAAACATGTTTAAAAAAAACACAATGGCATGATGTTTTTCTAAAAAATCACAACAAAAACAAACATCTCTATTACCAAACACACCCGAAGTTGTTGTTTGTCCGTTTGAGCCTTTTCCTCGATTCGATACAAAACTCCAAAAAGCTTTTCAGCAGCTAGCTAAACAAACTGCCTAACAAACCAACTTTAATAATACGAAATAGCTATTATCCACACGAAAGAAACAGCTCACCGCATCACGAGACTCGCCCTATCTACTCCTGATGACAACAAAGAGGCTAGTTTGGGCTTGTCTCTGGCAAAAACATGTACTTCATTGATAGTACACTCTCGTACACTCTCACTCTTCTGCATTCTGCAGTACACTGTTACAAATATATTGAAAACAAATTTATTGAAAACGTTATAATTTATATACAAAATGGCCCTTTTGACTCATAAACCAAATGGGAGTTGGTTTATTTATGCCCTAAGTATGGAGCTAAAGCGGATCTCAAAAGAATTAGTCTTTTTTTGTTTTCATCTTTTTCCATTTGCCAAACAAGGGCTAATTAAGCCCACAGGCTCATTTTGCGTCTATTAATACTGGTTTACCAGTTTACCAAACAGACCCTAACTAATCAATTATTGACATATAAGACATTTCATCTTGCTGATGCATTAGATATCATCGATATTCGATAATGATATGCCACTGGGCGAAGATGTTAGAATGACTATAGTGATAAATGGTGAAATGAAATCCAATGAAGATTCTAAAACTTAGCGGAATAAATCAAATTAGTTTTTTTGTGAGCAATATAAACGTATGATGATGTATACAATGTGTTGTTTGATCAATTATTCATGTCGACGAGGGGTCCACTCTCATTTTTCTAGTTTTTAAAAAAGTATAGCTCTTTATACTAAAGTGTAGCACCTTATTATGAAAGTATAGCTCTTTATGCATAGCTCTTTATGCAAAAGTATAGCTCTTTATGACCGTAGTATAGATCTTTACTGATAAAGTGTAGCTCTTTATGCCCTCACTCTTAATTTTTCGATTTTTGGAAAATATAGCTCTTTATTTTTCACATAAACAACTATACATTTCTCATAAAGCTAATATTTTGTCCATAAAGAGCTACGTTTTTTTATTAAAGAGCTATACTTCTCATACATGGGGAGCTACAATATATCATAAGAGCTATAATGTATCATAAAGGGTTATAGCCCTTTCAAAACAACATATAACTCATGATAACTCGTTATGAGTTCTATATCATTCATAAACTCCATTGGCGATTGACGACTTGCTATATAATCTTTATAAATGATACAAATCAACCAAAAAACTTCTTAAAGCATTTAGTCAAATATATATGTAATATGCATCAAATAAATTCTATTTAATACACATAATTCTTTTAAATATTACAAATCAACTAAAAATCTTTTTGAAGTATTTTATCAAACACACAATATACAAAAAACCGTCTTATACATTTTCGCATTCGAAGCCTTAAATTCAAAGCCTAATTCAATCCAACATAAAAGTAATCTTGTGACTGTAGACAAATGTGGTGAAGCTGACTTTGAGCAAGGACCTCGTTGAACAGTTATAGTCAAAATAGAGGATGGGGAAGAGTTGTTCGGAGCAGTCGGCAGCCGAGGACGAGCTTGGAGTGTTTGAGCTTGTTGGCCAAAGAGTGGAGGGAAAGCTAGTGGACTTGATGTCGCGTACAAGCTTCATGGTGAACATAAAGCTCAATCAGGAGGAGGAAAGGGATTCAATGGGTAAGTTGGAGAGTAGAGGATGAGATCGATGATTAATGGGATGGTAAAAAGTTATTTGGAAAGGAGTAGAGAGTTAAAGAGAGAATGAAGAAGAGGGTAATATGGGGATATTGAGTTTTTAATATGCATATAATGTATACTTATATGTATTATGGAGACTTGGGTTTAAAATTAAGCGATCTTTGTATTTTGGGTTTAAGAGGCATTTTATAAGCACATGGGTTTAAAATAAGTTAGAGTAAAACTTTGGGGTAAAAGACAAAAACCCCTAAAATAAAATATGTTATAAATACGGTTTTATTGGGCCCACGCAATGAAAATAGTGAACCTACTAAAACGAGGAAAATGACGTAATTGCCCCTTTGCCTCCATGTATAAAACACCCTCCAAATGAGCGACGACTCATTCAATTCCTTCGTCAAAGCCTCTTCTGAAGGTCACTTCTTTTCTCTTCTCAGTTGGTCTTAGTTCAATAATTCAACCTTTTTTTTAACTCTATTTTGATTGAATTCCATTCTAGACTTGATTTTAGGGGCACCCGATTTACTTAATCCATGTTTTGCTTGTTGGGTGTGTTTCAATTTGTATCCGAACCCACAAAAGAAGCAACTTTTTAATTGGTGATCTTTTGATTTCAGAGCAGGAGTTGATCCTCATGGACAAAGGGCAAGAATTTGAATGGGCTGAGGCCCAAAAGATTGCAATCAGCGAAGATCTTGTCGCTGCAGCAAAGCAGCAGCTGGAGTTTCTTGCTGCAGTTGACCGCCAGAGGTTTCTTTATGAGGGCCCTTTACTGGAAAGAGCAATTCATAGGTATATGGATTTAATTTGGGATAGAAAGTTGTTGTTAGATCTTTTTCGTAGTTAAATTTCTAATTTTGAAGGGTTTTTCTCTTTGTTTAGTGGTCATGCTCTTTTTTTTTAATTTATGATGAGGGCAATTTAGATGTTATTTAAGATTTTTGGATAAAAGTTCCACCGTGAGTGACCTGGACGGTTGGGAGGGTCCAATATAGGACTCCAATGATATTGGGTTCGATTCTGGGCGGGATTATAAATAAAAGTAAGATTTTTTGAGAAAAGTAGAGTGATGTTCTTAATTGTGTGAGATTTTTTTTAAAGACTTGGTACGATTATTAAGTCCCTCTGAAATCAGCAAGCTACATTCAAAAGCATAATTAGAACTCAAAATTGGGTGTTGCTACAAGGACCCAAATAGAGGACCCAAGGCATGGGACAGGTGAGTGTCATCGTCCGGTTGTATGATGTACTGTTCATGAACAGTGTATCATGCAACCGGATGGTGACACCTCACATGTCTCATGCTTTGGATCCCCTATTTGGGTCCCTGAGGCATTAATGCTCAAAATTTGATTGCTTCATGAATTAGTCATGGACTGTTGCCATTCTTTTGAGATTTTTTGGCCTCACTAGTTAACGTGCGTTATGCTACCTAGTTGCAATTAGGTGTTTAGCTTTCTTTATAGTTTGATTGATAGTTGAACTGTTTAATGTCTCCCTGAGTTTTTTCAGATCATATATTGGGAATTTGATGCTAGGTACGAGAATTTTTGGCTGCCATTATTGGCTAAACATGGTGAATCTGGAGTTGTGGACGGATCTTTGGTCGTCCCTCTCGACTGTGAATGGATATGGCATTGCCATCGGCTTAATCCAGTACATCTCTAATTCAATATGTTTCCCCCCTTCATTTTCCGCTCCTTTTTCTTGAATTTTTGCTCTTGTCTGATTTGGCATACGAAGTCTAAGATTAGAATCCTTATACAGGTGCAATACAAAAAGGACTGTGAAAAAATTTATGGGAGAATCCTGGATAACGAAAATGTGAAATCTTCTTTGTTTGCAAAGTCGAAACTTCGGAGTACTGAAATATGGGCTGAACTATATCCAGGAGAGCCATTTGAGCTTGATTATAGTTGGTCATACTCAGACGCTGGACTGTACTCTGGAGAAGAAAATTCCATCACTTACGATTTGGTTTCTGCTGTGAAGAGACAGTCTGTTTTCTATTACCAGGTAACTTCAACATTCATTTTGCTCTTGTTCAGATTTTCATACATTACTTCAATTTAACTGTTTTTCGATGTATTTTCTGCATAATTTTTGTATTTACAAAAACATGGTAATAAAAGTGTTTTTCTTTATGTAATGACTCTACGATAAGCAATAAAATCCTCGAAATACACTAGCAAGGATTGTGAGGTACGTCAAGATGTAATCTTAGATTTCGACCTATAGAAGAACAAGGGCTACTCAGAAATATATTTTTCATAGGCTGCAAAAGAAGCCAAGAAGTAGTTGTGGGTCTTGAAACTAATTTATGTATACAATCTTAACATAAATATTGAAAATATCATATCAATTTGAGAGAGGAGTGATCGACTTTACCTAGTAGAGCTTGAAAGAAAAGTAATTAGAGCTCAACAAATACATCGAGATTCCAATACAATAACAACGTAGCCTTTTTCCCAAAATTTTTGAGTCGATTACGCTGCTCTTCCACTCAGTCTGTTGGGGGCTTTTTCCTCCACTAAGTGAATGATTATCATATTTTTCTTAACAGCTGCTAACCAAGTTCTCCTATGCCTACCTCCAGTTATTATTTCTCCATTAATTAATGATATTATCACATCTCCTAATTGGATCAGACACCAAGCTTCCAATTAATGGCGTAACGAAGATCGTGTAGTGTTACGTTCATCTTTTTCATGCATTTTCTCACTTGTAGTACTTTTCAACGTTCACAATTAACACAGAAACCAGTATTTTTGTAAAAGTATGGAAATAACCACAAATTTTCACAGGTAGCAAGACCCAGCATGAGTGATAGCCGTTTTCTTGAGGAAGCAGTGGCCAGATACAAAGGATTTCTTCATCTTATAAAGAAAAACCAAGAAACATCAACGAACCGTTTTTGTGTGCCAACTTATGATATAGATCTTATATGGCATTCTCACCAGTTGCAACCTTCATCTTACTGCAAAGATATGCTTGAATTGTTGGGTAAGATATTAGAGCATGATGATACTGATGCTGATCGAACCAAAGGAAAGAAACTTGATAATGGATTTTGTGAAACTACAAAGCAATGGGAGGATACATTTGGTTTGAGATATTGGAGAGCTGGAGCTATGTATCGGGGATGCGCGCCTTCTTCTTTAGATGTTACTCCGTATTTTTCAGGACCTGACATGAAAAATGAGGATGTTATGGAGAAGTCGGAGATATTATTGCCTCTCCAGAAAACAATGGTTGTGGAGGTAAAGCTTGGCAAATCTTATGTTTCATCTATTACTCTATTGTTATTTTTTTCAACTTTAATTAGACATAGAAATGGAAATGAAATGCATATGGCGCAAATTTCGAAGAGGAGGGGAGAAAAACAAAAACAAAAAGATAAAGGCTGAACCAAATGAGATTGATCTAATTTGCTTGAGATACCTCCACAGTTTTCCAAGGGGCAAAACGTTTAGATGTTCTCTATATATTTTGTAGCAAAGAAGATACTTATGTTTTTCTCAAAAGAAGACAAATGATGGCAATGCAATAGTTTCTCTAGTTGTCAGAAAACACTCTCGCGCTTTAATTTATTTCAAATATAAATACAGAAAACTCCAATAAATTTAATTACATTCTTTTCCCATACGAATGCTTTTATATTGTACTTTCACAATTATATCAACAATATCCATTTTCATGTTTGAAATATACACGGAGTTTTACTCAGTCGGTTACATTTCTATCTTGTTCTAGGTTTTATCAAAACTTTTTAGATTTAAAATGCTTGTGAAGATTCTGTTTAGTCATCCTCGTTGATAGTAGGCAAATTTATTTATCTTTATGCTTATTTATTTATAATACTTTACATTAGAAGTCGTCGGAATTTGTAAGAATGTGGGATCCTATCTCAGTTTAAGTCTAAAAAAGATCAACTATGGAACTTTTTATTCATAACTATCTATTAGCTTAATTAACATTCTTTTCAGTACACACCTGTGCGAAATTTCACATTCTATTTCAATGCAGGTTCTTCTCGAAATTGTGGGAGTTAAAAACTTACCTGCTGAGCAAAATGGAAACTTGTTTGTATCTTTTAGCAAGAAAAGCCCAGACATATTCTTGAATGGTAGTTCTACACTAAGTATTTTATCCGAATCTGGAGAGAAACAAGTAGCTGGTTTCCAATGTGAACCCACAGGCGAGCTAATCTTGGCACTTAAGACTAATTCAAACTCCCATATCAAAACGATGGGAACGACCTCAATTCCTCTTGAAGACTTGATGGCTCCAAATTCTAAGTTGTCTGTGGAGAAATGGTTTGAATTGAAACCTCATACTGGAAATTTGAATGGCAAGCCGGTTTCTCTTTATGTTGCTGCTTCTTTTACAGTTCCATTCCCTGCTCCTCAAGAGTTTCGCATGTTTAAGCCGAGCCCCATCTCTATGAACACATGTTTCTTTCCACTCAAGGCTCAACTGGATCGAAGATGGGTGCGGTTGGCGGATGACAATGGTAATGATATCATCAGCCTACAAATGAGGTACGTGGAGTAGGAACAAACTCAAACATGTTTACTGTATTTTGGCTAAGTTCTTGTGGTGAGTGGAATAAGAGAGTTGAATGCCAAGCAAATTTATAATCCACTTGTTCACTTGACTTGTGGATGGGAGAACTTTAAACGGTTGACTCAGCACTTCTTTTGATTGGACTTTTTTTATCACAGTTAACAAATTGGTTTTTTCAAATTAAATTGGTCGAAATTTTTTTTTATCTTGTATGCATTTGGAATGTGGAAAACTTTATGTTAATGTCACATTCCACAAGCATGTATACTTGAGATCAATGACATTATCTATTTACGAGTTATTCTAAACCTTGATGGCATTGAGATTGATTGTTGTTGGATGTTGATTAACTGCACCAGGCGCGTAAGGCAAAAGAATGGAGTGAATAATGGGATGATTTCTAAGAGCAATATCGTTGGAGTTACAAGATTATCCAAAAAACCACATGTGCTGGCTGAATACGCCGAAAACAAATGGTCATTGAACGATTATAATTTATCGCTCCATATCGAGAAGGAAAATAGCCAAGGTGCTCATATCTTTGAGCTTTCGGGCAGCAATCGGGTATGCTTGTTAGCTTGTTGCTTTTAAACTGAATAAAATGTCAAATTATGAATTTTGCTCTTGATCGCTGTAGAGTTTTGCTCATATTCCTCTACGCAAACTGTATGCTTACTGAAAACTGAAACTTCCCAACAAGAATAGCGATGTCCCGTTCATAACCTCCCCGAATGAATCGCGTTAATATCTTGTATGTTAAACTGGAACAGATCAAGCTCTTCCCCGGGAAAAAGCTGGAATGTGAACCCAAAAACTGCCACCACATTGAGCTCAACTTCATCACAGCTGTGGAGTTCTCCGCTGACCATCCCTACGGAAGAGCTATAGCCTTACTAGACATAGAATCAAGTCTCATAAAGGTATAATAAGTCCCTTTCTTGTGCATATCGCAAAAGGAGTAATTGTGGATAGACCCCTGTATTATCCCCCAAAATTGTATACAGACCCCCTGACTGAATTATTAATTATTTATTCTTTTAACCTCACAAAGTCTATTTTTCAAAAAAGATTCTCTTTCTACGACGTTAAAATGATAATAATAAAAATTCGCTCAGGGGGTCTATTCGCAACAATAGAACTGCAGGGGGTCTATCCGCAATTGGGCGGTAGTACGGGCTGTCTATCCACAATTAACCCGGGGGTGAAAAAATCTCAACATACACTCTGACATTCTTAATGCTGTCATAAATAGGTCGACGAGGATCAGTTCGTGTTGCCTGCAATCCTTCTCTTATTCATACTAAAGAAAGAAGGATTAACAGGAAAAAACATCAAACAGATGGCCAATCAAGAATCAAAAACTTGTGACCAAACTTCAGAAGCGTCAGCAATGAACGCTTCGACAACACAAGTCAACAGTGGAGGCTGCGGCGGAGGATGTAGCGTGTGTGGGAACACGCTGAATACCAACAGTTCTGGGGGTTGCGGCGGTGGCGGCTGTAGTGGTGGTTGTGGAGATACGACGACAATTGCAGGTTCAGGCCCTTGCAAAGAAGCATCGATAAATTATGGTTCAGGCGCTTGTAACTAAAATATTAACCATGTTGCTGGTTATTCTCCTCTTAAGTCCGATCCTGTTGTTTTGTGCAGGTTATTCTACAGGACTACCTGGCTTCTGATGAGGATTTCCTATCCTGTGCATATTTTGTATTTAAAACTTATAAGGTTGACAAAATCGTTCTTTTGCTTAGCTATCCTGTGCCTTTGTGTGGAAAGTATGTTGTGATTATGTACCTGGAAATCTATGTGTCTAGTGGTTTGTTGTGCAACCCTTTGTGTGGAAAGTGTGTTGTGATTATGTACCTGGAAATTTTTGTATTCAATGGCAGACTTCTTGTGCAATCGTGTTGGTGGTGGTGGTGGTGGTGATAGAGTTAGTATTGGTGAAGTCAGTGTCTGTGGCTGCTTAAGAGCTCAAATCTGGAGTAGAGGATCAACGTGCCGTTGTGCATAAATAATGACATCGGTGTTATGTTGGTGTGTTATGTTGTGTCTTTCCTAATGTTTCTTAAATAAAATAAAATAAAAACCTTCTGTTTTCTCTTCTCTCTCTCTTGTAATGTGCCCTTTAAACGCGTGCAATTAAACTGTAAGTGAATCTCTATGTTAGGATAACAATGCGTGCAATTACGGGCCTGCTATTGTCAGGAGAAAGATCAGAGGCAAGCTACAAAATCCATCACAATGGTTTTTTAACATATTTTCCTCATCCCTTGCAAGCACAAGGCAAAGCAAGAATCCCAAAGTCGCCCCTTGCTCTCAATAAGTTCCATCTCAAAAACGAAAGGCATTATCTACAACTGAAATCATAAAAGAGATGAACCATAATGTCATTTACAGGGGAAAATAACTTACGAGATCAGTCCATATATCAAAGTTCACCGATTCTCAGCAAAGCGCACAGAGAATCAACCCACATTTAGAACACTGCCCTCCCAAAACCCCAAACTTACAGAGCTACATTTTACATGGTTAAAGACTTGTGTAACGAAGGAAGCACGAGTTATGATTTTGAATTAGTCATTGCCTGAAGATCCGTCAAGGAGAATGACCTCATAGGAAAAGAACAATATTGAGGTGACGATGACCGAACCAATGAAGAACCAGCAGCTGAAGTTTTCCCTGGTGGATGTAATGGAGGAAGAAGATGATACTGCTGTTTGTGATCCTCTTCAATGCTGCTGTTATTGCTCATGGCCATGGCGAGGGCTTGCATGCTCCGGCCATTACTTGGAGCTCTCTTGGAAATAGCACCTCCGTTGCCTTTTAGTGGATGGGGGGATGACTTGAGATGGAAATTCGTTGAGGCGAGGAGGTTTCTTCTTTTTCGAGTGTAAGCATTTTCTTGCTTGCCAAGATCTTTGATGGAGGAGCAGGACAGCATAGCATCTGATAGGCTTGCGAAAGACTTTGATTTTCCGTTGTAGAAGCTTGAGATCCCTCGCCTATGGAATAATCAAATCATAGGTTCAGAGTGTTACTCCATTAATTAAGCTAGATAAAAGGAAATGCTGGAGGAACTTGAGAATGGAGCATGGACAAAAAAAAAAAAATTAGATTTTTGCCCCATGCCTGGCTCAATGATTTCATGCCCAGATCAATGGTTTCATGTTTAGATCAAGGACCTCACATCTGGTTTCACATTCATGGTTACATCACACAATCTAAAGAAATCATAATTTTTTTCATTAACTTAAAAGTTGCCCTACATCAACGACCATCTTTTGGAGCTCTATGGAGCAATTTGCATGGAGCACGCAACTCCAACCCAGGTGATAATAGGTAGGGGGCATCCAATGGTTAAGCGACACTAAGTAGTCTCAAGTGAGTTACCTACCCGATGATGTGAACTGAGCCCAAGAAAATTTTATTACTTCAGCCAATATATTAGGGTAAAGCATGACAAAAAACCAAAAAGAAACCGAGCTTCACCACAGCGAAAAATAATTTTTGACTCTTCCAATCAAATGTAACTAGTCAATAACGAAAACTTTTCAAAAAAATCAAGCAATCTTTAGGTTTCACGGCCTTCCGCTACTAGGCAGAATAACTCTCATCTCAAGAAGACTGCCAACAGTAGAGCTATATTTTCTCCAGAAGCTGACCATACATTTTGCTCCATAAGATACCCTACAAGTCAACCAATACTATATACTATGTGTATAACTCCAGGTGTATAACTCCAGACGCTACGGCAACCAGATTATTGCAATCATCCACCCCACTGCAACATACGATTTGAATCGATGAAGAGGCTTTTGACAAAATATCTCAAAGCTTGTAGTACAATGTGTATAGTTGGAAGTTGACTTTGTCTCGAAGCTCTGGCTAGTTTACTCTGTTTATATTATTTATAGTTATCTATTTTTGTTGTCGTTTTCTTTTGGTGCTTGTTCTTTCCCCTCTCTGTGAGGTATCATGTTTAGACCATCTGTGCACAGAGGTTCTCCACGTGAAGTCTTGGATAACAGCATAACTCCCGTGGTTTGACAATTTTGAAGTATTCTATTATCTTCTATTTAATCAATCAGGATGTCGTACCGTTACTTGTTTCCGATAATGTTTCAAGAGCACTCTGTCTCTAACTCAGAGTATGAAGTCTCCTTTCTCAAATAGAAGATATCCATGGTCAAACCTATATATCTCTATTTATTTGGCTTCTTAATGTGAATATATATAATAGAGAACAAGCAAACTAATCACACAACAAGCTAGTAACTGAGCCAAAGACCTCATTCCATACAAGAAGATAGAGCTTAGATTACAAAAGATAGCAATATTGAAATGAATCATATATAAATAAAATTATTCCTTACAGACAACCACTTTCTTTCTGTAGTTCATAGTGATAATTGGAAAATGCTTTAATAAAGATATTGAAACACAAATCCTCATCTAAGTTGGCAGTTTACTCCATACACACACCATACACACACAAGGAAAACAAGCATTGTTGAAGAACACAAATTATGTCTTACTATGCACCTGCATAAATGTCCTATGCAACCTAAACCAGCATCAGATAGAGGATTGGAGTACATAATGTGCAGAGACCTCATATCCTTCTATTTTTATTATGCAGCATAGAGCGGTATAGTCTGAATAAGAGCTGCTTAAGCCTTATCGGATCTGTATAAAGCTGCATTATGCCTTACAGAGTTTTGATTAAGCAGGCACTATAGCTGCATCATCAATCCAATTGACGCATAATTCTCAGAGCATGAATAATTGTCAAGATATTATGTTTTCTACTTAGTTCTCGTTTCAATTGTGGACTGTTAGTTGTTTACTTGTTACTCATATTTACAAGTTCAACATGTTTAAAAGATGATTACTGTCAGCAGTTACATGTTTTACATGTTTAAGATATTCATTATAACTTGCTTATAGGTATGCTGATTTTTACCTAGGCTCATTTACTGACACGAGACAAGAGTTCTTAAATTTTAAGAATATTTAGAAACTTCCATCTAGTACTTTCTTTGTATAATGGTATTTCATCATTTGTGAATACACGGCACCAAATTATGCAACTATTTGTAACACTGTTATCCAAACAGATACATGCGAATAAGATAAATCTGGAACCTGGCCTAGTGCACGAACCATCTGTAAAAGAGAGAATTCTTTTTAACTTCTTGAAAAAGTGCATACATTAACTTTCACGAAAGAGAATGAACCAAATTTATTTTCCAACTTCTTGTAAATTCCTAGAGTCGCTTACCTAAAAAAGAATAAACTGACATAATTGTAGCTCCTGATGACAATCAACGGCTTAAGTTTTTTTTTTAATCAATCAGCTTAACTTAGCAGATTAAACACAATTTAATCCGCTAAGTTTTTGACATATCGTGGCTCCTGACAATAATCTACATGTTTATGGATGTATCTTTGTATCTTTCTTGGTTACTTTTAGACTAAATACAGGTAGAGGATGATCCCCAGTTAGCATGTCCGATTAAAAACCTCACGGTGCATTAAAAAAAACAATATATGCTATACTCATCAATTCTTTCTCTTGCTCTTTCTCTATTGTTAGAATTCAACGCGAATTGTTCCTTGCCAATGAGAACAAATAATTACAGAAATTTACAACTTTTTGTTATAGTTCAACCTAAATCCATTCCAAAAGTTATTCAACCAACCTTAAAAATACTCAATATTTATTAGTCACAAAAGAGTCAAACTTCAAACTTCACAAATCAAGAAAATAACACCATGCCGCCGCCGCTGCCGCCTTGATCTCCGGCGGAGATCTCAATCCCTTCATATCTCCGGAGATCGCCGGAGAATCGTAGATCGGCGAGCATCGGATCTCGCGATCGAATCCTAATCGCTCGATTTCCCCTCCTCTCTCCAACGCGATCGGCATCGATCGATCAATCGATCAGTTAGGGATTCAGACAAAAAAAAGAATGAAGAGAGAAAAGATAAAGATTCGAGTAAATAGGAAAGATGAGAATATGAGCAAATTTATTAATTTTTTTTATGTGTTTAATAGATAGAGATAAAACTAGGTGAGAGGATAATAATAATAATAGTATTTATTACTTTCAGATAACATTATTATTATCATTTACTACTAAATTTGGGATAAGTGGGTTTCATGGCCCGGGCCCATTTTCCTGTCATTAGAGCGGGTGCGCGTTCGGGTAGCGTTTTGGTGCCGGATTAAATTTAGCCGTTGCTTGGAATAGAGGTTTTAGTGATGGGATCCGCTGTCATACGCACGGTTAAAATTGATGGAGATGGACGATTTGCGAGGGTGACACGTGGAGAGGACAGTCTGGCTGTAGCGTGGAAATGAGGGTGAGGCTTATCCAAACATTGTACTGATAGTTTTTATTTATTCTGTGGTCTGTATATGGTGTATAGTGTTTGAATAATTGGATAATGGGATAATTGCATATTTAGTCCCTGACTCATTTATAATTGCAACTCCGTCCCTCAAACATCCCTTTTCGCTCACGCTTGCCCCCAACAATGCAATTACCTAAATATTATGAGCGGGTTCTAATTTAAACCTGCTAAGAAACAGGTCAGTGAGCTTTAAATGAGGATATAATATATAAATTCTCTTACTCCGTTAAAAACAATTGAATTTTTCTCTCAGAACTCG